CCTTGTTCGCGATTTTGATCGCAGATTGGTTGTCGCAGAGGAGTGAGAAGGCGGGCAGGGTCGCGATCTTCGCTTCTTCGAGTAACTCTCGTAGGTAGAGTCCTTCCTTGGTCGCAGTACAAAGGGCGATATACTCTGCTTCAGCCGAGGATAGTGCGATTAACTCCTGCTTGCTCGACTGCCAGGAGATAGTTCCGATAGGTTCTAGTCGGTAGATGTAGCCCGTCCTAGACCGTCGATTTTCGCTGTCTCCCGCGTGGTCGGCGTCGACGTATCCGAGTAGTCGTACGGACGGTGTTGTTGCCTTGCTGTAGGTAAGCCCGATCGTCGGCGTGGAGACGAAGTAGAGTAGCGCTCGATTGAGTTCTTCGAGATCTTCCTGTTGCGGATGCTTCAGATGTGTCGCCAGCTGACTCGCACTATAGGATAGGTCGGGTCGGCAGGTTACTGCTGCGAATAGTAGGCAGCCGAGCTTCTGTTGATACTCCTGGATTTGTTTCGCGGGGAGTTTTGTAGAGGCGCTGCCGTTGTTCCCGTAGCGGTAGGGAGTTGGGACCGCAGTCGGTGTTAGAGCGAATTTCTTCGCGACGGTGCTTGAGTACTTTCCAGCGTGTAGGTAGAACGCCGTGTCGTCTTCGACGACGTTCAGTCCTAGGTACTGCGTAACTTCGTCGGACACCGTGAGAGTTAAATCTTCTTTCAGCTCCCCTTCGAACCAGGTGGCGATGTTGGTAGTTGAGCCGATGTAGAGCAGGTCGTCGACGTAGACGATGAGCAGAACATACTCTCTTCCCTTCTGCAGTCGGTACATCCCTTGGTCATGCGGCAGCTGTAGGAAGCCGATTTTTACGAGACGGCTGTGAAGATGCTGCTGCCAGAGCCGCGGGGCTTGCTTGATCCCGTATAGGATTTTGTCAGTCGGCATATTTTCGTGGGGTCGTCGATGAATCCGTGGGGTTGTTCGACGAAGATCTCAGCGTCCACAGGTGCGTATAGGAACGCATTCGCGACATCGATTTGGCGTAGTGGTAGTGTTTTTGTGGCCGCGACGGCGAGTAGGATGCGTAATGAGGTGTGACGGGAGACTGGGGCGAAGGTTTCTGTGTAGTCGGTTCCGTATCGTTGATCGAAGCCTCGTACGACCCATCGAGCTTTGAATCGTTCGATGAGCCGTCTGAGTTGGTCTTGATGCGGTACACCCATTTCCCCGAGAGAACGTTCTTCCCGTTGATGCTCGTTGCAGGTACCAGTTTCCATGTTTCTCGGTCTTGCAGAGCTTTTAACTCCTTTTCCATCGCTTCTTTCCATTTTGCCTTATGTTCCCCCCCCAGAGCCTGCGACAAGGTTGAAGGCTCACGCGTAGAAGGCGGCGGCGGATGCTGGACGGAGACCCAGAGGCCTAGAATCTGGAGTCCCGTGGGTGTGTGTCGAGGGGAATTGTCATTCCCGGAATAAGCTGCTTCGTCACCGTCTTCGGGGTCAGGTAAGAAATTGGGGCCGATGCGTTCCGAAATATTCGTGTCGACGGGGTGCGGTGTAGCGTAACCTTGGTCGGCGAAGTGGTAAAAGGTGTCGAGGTTGTTGCTATCGAGGGGATTATCTTCATCGAGTGGAACAGGTATGGAACAGAATGGGAGTGGCCCGGCAGCTTCCGAGGCTCCAGGTACGTCTTCTTCTGCTGCGTCAGCCTCGGCAGCATGGTCAGCGAAGGAGCGAAGGCCCGCGAAGCCGTCGGTGGGGTCGTCTGAGTTGGCAATGTTGTCCAGGTAATGCTGCAGCGTCAGTCGCTCGTAGAAGATAACATCACGTGATGCCACCGTATTTTTGTCTTGTATGTCGAGGATCTTCCACGCGTGAAAATGTTTGGCGATGCCGAGGTGTAGTCCCCACCGAGCTCGTTGAGTGAAGCGTCCTGCTCGAGCTGTGTGGGGTCTGTATTGTACCATGCAGCCGAAAACTCGAAGTAATTTTGTGCTGCCCCTTTTTCCCGTCCACAGCAGGTGTGGTGATGCGTTGTTGGGGAGCGATGACGAGGACAACAGGTTGTGCAGGTGGACTGCATGTGTCATCGCGTCTGGCCACAGTGCGTTGGGCAGCCTCATCCCCAGAAGCAGTTTTCGCATCGTCGTCTGCAAGGTCCGGTTCATGCGTTCTGCTACCCCCTGCTGCTGGTGAGCATAGGGCAGAGACACCAGGCGTCGGATTCCCCTTTCCGCGAGATAGGTCCTGAAGCGTTGTGACTGGTATTCCAGTGCACCGTCTGACTGGAAACTCTTGAGTTTGGTTCCTGACTCTCGTTCGGCGATTGGAAGCCATGTGGTGAATGCCTCGAAGGCTTGATCGCGCGTTTTGAGATTGAAGTGCCAGACGTATCTGGTTGCGGCGTCGATGAACGTGATGACGTAGTTGAAGTCGGCTTCGGTGTCGTCTCGAGGCATGTTTAGAATATCGCTGTAGACCTTTTCCATCGGAGCGTAAGTGGGTGCGCTTGGATTGTGATGGGCTGGGAAAGGTTGATGAGGAAGATCTGCTTCGGGGCATGTGAAACACCGTGCGCGTGGTCGTCGGAGTTCCTGGCCGCTCGTCGTCAGAAGGGCGTTGCGTTCTAACACTTCTGCTTGGATTGTTTGAAGTATCGTGCTGTTTGCAGGATGTCCGAGACGTTGGTGCCAGATGTCGTCGGGAGCGCGGTGACCGGGCGAGCGGTGGTAGATGTCGGCGTTGGAGAAGAACGCGACGACCGAGGCGGGACTTCGACAAGCTTCTCGTGTGGCGGGCATAAGTTGGTCTGCTTCGGTTGGCTGTCCTCGTGTCGCTGGTGGTGGTACTCGGCTGGGTCCTGCTGCCGATACTGCAGGTGATGGTTTTGCTGGGACACATGCGGGTACTTGTCTTTCTTGTCTGATAACTGCTAATGCTCGTGTTCTTTCTGCTGCAGGTATGGTGTTGGAGTGCCAGAAGCCGTCGCTGTCGAAGTCGGGATCAAGATCTGGCGGATGAGTCCAGGCGGCGAAAGATACGATACCGTCGCTGTCGGCAGTTCCGCGGTCGGGGACGAAGTCCAACACGAAGACACCGGACTTCAGGAGGGCACGACCGATGAAGAGACCGCCCTTCCCGTGGTAAAGTCGGAACTCGTTGGAGAAGGAGTCGCACTCCAGGTGAATCCCCTTAGCCATTAGTTGGCTTACGCTTAATAGGTTGTATCCCAGATTGTCGACGATGAGGACCTTGTTGAGCTGAAGAATAACGTTTGTCTCCATTGATTGTAACTGAACCACGCCTTGTCTATTTGTTTTCAGGTTTTCGTTGTTGGCGACGGTGATGACGACGTCACGGTTGAGGCGTCGCTCGTGTTGTACGAAGCGTCCGGAGGAGCACATGTGCTGACCGCAGCAACTGTCCAAGAACCAGGTGTTCCGCCCGGTGGGTTCGGCGTTAGCGACTGCAGCGTATGTCGGGTTGACCTGAAGTCCTTGCGAGCGCGGCGGCGGGAATTCCTCTTCGTCTGGTGCGTAAGTGGGTGGTGAAGCGGGTGCGCAGTTGTCGATGTGTACCATGCAGTTGATGATGTTGGGTGTTTGTTGTGCAGATGTTGAAGAGCGCCTTGGAGGACTTGCTTGAGTGGAAGCGACTTGTGGGTCTGCTGCACGGTAAACGCGAGGGCGGTTGCAGTTGACCTTGGAGTGCCCGGAAGTCTGACAGTTGTGGCAGAACGGCGGCACGATGGTGAGTCCTCGGTTGTCGCGTTGATCTTGCTTGCTGCGTCGGTTGTAGTTGTTGTCATTTCTTCTTTGAGTGTAGAAGACTAACTGCTGTTGCTTCCTTGGTTGTCTTTCCTCGAACAGATCCATCTCCTGTTGTTCAGCGTGAAGCTCGGCGCAGAGGTGCATCTCCGAAATTCTTCCGTGGGCTCGAAGAAGTGATCGTGTGGTTCTCCATTCAGGCCCGAGCCCGGCGAGGACAAGTGTCACGAAGCTTTCTTCAGTGATCGTTCCTCCGCACCGAAGCAGGCGGTCGCGGAGGGTCTGGCAGCGACTCATATACTGCATCGCCTTTTCCCCGGTCTTCATCTGTATTGTTGTCAGCTGTTGCATGAGTCTGCTTTGTGTCACGCTGTCGTTTGCTTGGTAAAGGCATTTGAGGTGGTGCCATGCGAGCTCCGCGGAGTTTCCACACTTGAAGAGGGAGACGGAGTCACCATCTCTGGTACTCTTCCCGTTGTTTCTTGAGTAGTCCCGGTCTCTGTCTGCAGTCCTGAGGTGTGCAGACCAGAGTTGCCGTGTTGAGTTTCTTGGGCGCTGGGTGAGCCCGTAGAGACTTTCTTGCCCTTGTTGTCCATGTCTTGTAATCAATGGAGTTGTTGAATCAAGTTGAGTTGCTGGTTGTTGATGGAGTGTAGTTGCTGGGAGTTTTGGTCTCTGACCAGCTCTCATACCATGTTGGGCTGAGAAAAGCCCTTAGGATCTTTTGCAGAGACTAAGTCCCAGCTTGTAGAGACTTGAGACTTGGAGTAGTGCAGCGGAAGTTGAGGCAGTTGAACCCTTGTACTAGTATGTGAGAACAAGTGATTGATTAAAGAAACAAGCATACAGCAATATATAGTAGATAAGAAAGCAGTTGTAGAATACAGTTACAGGAACGGTTTATCGAGTCGCACAGCGACTCGATTGCCGCTTCGGTTACCATCCGTGATGTTGTAACGGTCAGTCGCAACCTCCAGTTGCGACCTTTCGAGTCCTTTCGCATTCTTTGTCCGCCCCCTCGTGTAACCTCCGTTGACTCGCGTGCTCCCCTGTAATCTTCCTCGAGTACAGTGTTACACTTCAGAAACGCTTAAGTCCTTGAGATATTTCCAACATTTCTAACACCTATCCCCCGGGGTGGAGCATATCCGGGTGGATACGGTAGGATCCACAATTGTAGAACACCTAACATGCCTACACAACTATATATATATATATATATATATATATATATATATATATATATATATATATATATATAATATAAGTTGACAATCAACCGTGCCCTCTTCTTCACCCTGGCTCACCCATCCATCACTATCCACTGCCCATGACAAAACACACCCTAGGCCCCCATCACTGGGGTACACATTGCAAATTATAGACATGAAGGTCTCAGAGTCGCTAATTTAGTCAGTTGGATCGTCGGTGAACGAGTCAACCCCTACATCTTCACTGCGGCTCATCCACCCATCGCTGTCAGCCCAACCAAACCACAAAGATCCACCAGGACCCCATCAGATGCACATAGTTCGGTAAATTTTCCTTCTCAGAATCAGCTGATGTAGTCAGTGGGGTCGTTGGTGAAGGACTCAACCCCACCCTCCTCACTGCGGCTCACCCACCCATCGCTGTCAGCGCGGACCAGAACGTCCACCAGCCCCGCATCATCACGAGCAATCTGATCAGTGGGATACAGCGCAGAGGGGAAAGCAAAAGGCAGCAAGTGAATTTTGAGTCAAGTCAAGGGCCAGCCGCACCAGAACGTCCACCCGCCCCGCATCATCACGAGCGATCTGATCACAGTGGGACACAGGGTAAACGGGAGGCGCATTTTAGGTCTGAGTCGACTCAAAAAGAACCAGAACGTCCACCCGCCCTGCATCATCATGAGCAGAGAACAGTGGGACACAGGGTAGAGGGGAAGCATAGCACATCTCAAAGTGGGCACACGCTGAAGGCAACCACAAATGAGTTTAAAAGTCAGCCTTCCGCCCCTCCCCCCCCTTCCCCCTCCCCCCTCCCTCCCTTTCCCCCTTCCCTTCCCCCTTCCCCCTCCCTCCTACCCCCTAACCCCCCTCGCTCCTCTCTCCTTTCCCCTGTTCCCTTCCCCTCCCCGTCCCACCCCCCCTCCCCTCTTCTTCCCCTCCTTCCCCAACCCCCACCCTCTCACCATGAGCTCATCGTCCAGGTAAGAGACGAGCAGCTCTTGTGAGTATCTCTCTCGCCAGTCCAGCACGCTCGTGGCAAAATGGATTAAAGTCAAAACTACTCCCTCTCCTCCCCTCCCCCTCCCCCCCCAACTCCGCCCCCCACTCCAGCTCACCATGAGCTCATCGTCGAGGTAAGAGACGAGCAGCTCTCGCGAGTATCGGCCTTCTGAATCCACACGAAGCCCCATGGAGGAGGGAGAGACAGGTGGGGGAAGGATATGAGAGGGGGTAAGAGATGAGCAGCAGTTGTGAGTATTTTCCTTGACCCTTTTAGCAGTAAAGTGACGGTAGGTGTAAGCCCTTGAGGCGCCTCAAAACTAGCTGCAGCTAGGAAGACCCTTTTAGTAGTAAAGTGACAGTAGGTGTAAGCGCACGAAGGAGGGTCCGGGAGGGGTGGGTATACGGCTAGGAATGGGAAAGAGAAGCGGAGGAAGAGAAGAGGGGAGCAAGGACAGAGAGGAGAAGCAGGGGAGAGATTGGAGCAGAGAGGAGAGAGCAGGAGAGCGAAGGATAGGCGAGGGAACACCATAAGGAAGGGGTGCAGAAAAGGGGAGGCTAGGGACACGGACACTCCACCGAGGGGCACACACAGGACGCTTTCTTGTAGAGCAGTGGGAAGTAATTGGAGGAGAGAGGAGAGCAGGAGAAGAGAGGAGGGGAGAGAAGAGGAGAGGAGAGGAGAGAAGAGGAGGGGAGAGGAGAGGAGAGGAGAGGAGAGGAGAGGCGAGGAGAGGAGAGGAGAGGAGAGGAGAGGCGAAGAGAGGAGAGGAGAGGAGAGGCGAGGAGAGGAGAGGAGAGGAGAGGAGAGGAGAGGCGAGGAGAGGAGAGGAGAGGAGAGGCGAGGAGAGGAGAGGCGAGGAGAGGAGAGGAGAGGAGAGGAGAGGAGAGGAGAGGAGAGGAGAGGCGAGGAGAGGAGAGGCGAGGAGAGGAGATGAGAGGAGAGGAGAGGAGAGGAGAGGAGAGGAGAGGCGAGGAGAGGAGAGGAGAGGCGAGGAGAGGAGAGGAGAGGACAGGAGAGGAGAGGCGAGGAGAGGAGAGGAGAGGAGAGGAGAGGCGAGGAGAGGAGAGGAGAGGAGAGGAGAGGCGAGGAGAGGAGAGGAGAGGCGAGGCGCGGAGAGGAGAGGAGAGGAGAGGGAGAGGAGAGGCGAGGCGAGGAGAGGAGAGGAGAGGAGAGGAGAGGAGAGAAGAGGAGAGGAGAGGAGAGGAGAGGAGAGGAGAGCGAGGGAAAGGCCAGGGAATGTAAGCAGAAAGCAGTGTGCGCGCAAAGGGGGAGGCTAGGGAGACGAAAACACCCACCGAGGGGACATGCAGGCCAGCGTTTATGGTGTCTTGCAGAGCGGCGGGCAGCGATTGGAGGAGAGAGGAAGAGAAAAGGGTACGCACTCAAGAACCGACTATGTAAATAGGGGAGGCTAGGGAGACCACAACACCCACCGAGGGGCACACGCAGGCCGGCATTTATTGTGTCTTGCAGAGCAGCGGGCAGAGATTGGAGGAGAGAGGCGAGCTGATCCACCACGGCCTTGAGGGGCGCTGGGATGCTGCCACCTGTCACGACAGGAGTGGTCACCTCGATCTCTGCGTATTCCTCCTTGAGCCTAGTTCGGCGGGCATGGAGTGATGTGGTGTGGTGTGATATGGTGTGGTGTGGTGTGATATGGTGTGGTGTGGTGGACAAAGATGGTGGAGAGATGGGAGTGGGATGGGCGAGGGAGGCTTGGTTGTTGAGATGTTTCAAAAAATGGGTGAAAGATTGTTTGGTTGTGCAGTGCAGAGTCAAGGGAAGGATTCAGAGGGAGAGGGAGCGATTCAGAGGGAGAGGGAGCGATTCAGAGGGAAAGGGAGGGATTCAGAGGGAGAGGGAAAGGACTGGGCTCCCCAATCTCCCTGTACTCCTCCTTGAGCCCGATTGGGCAGGTGGTGTGGTGTGGTGTGGTGTGGTGTGGTGTGATATGGTGTGGTGGAGGAGGAGGTGGGTGAGGGAAGCTCGGCTGTGGGCAGTGGGGGAAAGGTTTCAGAGGGTGAACAGGGAGGGTATTTTTGAGGCGCCTCAAAAAGACCGTGAACAGGGAGGGTATTTTTGAGGCGCCTCAAAAAGACCGTGAACAGGGAGGGTATTTTTGAGGCGCCTCAAAACGAATGCGAACAGGGAGGGTATTTTTGAGGCGCCTCAAAAAGACCGTGAACAGGGAGGGTATTTTTGAGGCACCTCAAAATGACTGTGAACAGGGAGGGTATTTTTGAGGCGCCTCAAAAAGACTGTGAACAGGGAGGGTATTTTTGAGGTGCCTCAAAACGACTGTGAACAGGGAGGGTATTTTTGAGGCACCTCAAAACAACTGTGAACAGGGAGGGTATTTTTGAGGTGCCTAAAAAAGACCGTGAACAGGGAGGGAGTGCACTGGCCGGAAGATGGGGGGAGCTTGAAGGACGTTTAAGGGGGTGCTGATAGGGGGGCAATTGCGGTCAGGGGATGAAGGGGGGGGGACCGGATTGAGGGAGTGAAGGGGTGCTGGATTGAGGGAGTGAAGGGGTTCTGGAAGGGGACTTACTCGAGAGAAGGAGCTTCCATCTCGAGGTTGGACTTGATGATGACGTTAGAGGGGAGAGAGGGGAGGGACACAGGTTGAGGAGAGGAGTTTTGAGGCGCCTCAAAACTTACTCGAGAGAAGGAGCTTCCATCTCGAGGTTGGACTTGACGATGACGTTAGAGGGGAGAGAGGGGAGGGACACAGGTTGAGGAGAGGGAAGTGGGCGGGTGCAGGAGGCGGAACTTAGGGTGCACAGAGAGGAAGGCACTTTAGAGGGGCTTACTTGAGAGGGACTTTAGGGGGGCTTTAGGGTGAAGGGGTGCTGGAAGGGGCTTACTTGAGGGAGGCTTCCATCTCGAGGTTGGACTTGATGATGACGTTAGAGGGGAGAGAGGGGAGGGACACAGGTTGAGGAGAGGAGTTTTGAGGCGCCTCAAAACTTACTCGAGAGAAGGAGCTTCCATCTCGAGGTTGGACTTGACGATGACGTTAGAGGGGAGAGAGGGGAGGGACACAGGTTGAGGAGAGGGAAGTGGGCGGGTGCAGGAGGCGGAACTTAGGGTGCACAGAGAGGAAGGCACTTTAGAGGGGCTTACTTGAGAGGGACTTTAGGGGGGCTTTAGGGTGAAGGGGTGCTGGAAGGGGGCTTACTTGAGGGAGGCTTCCATCTCGAGGTTGGACTTGATGATGACGTTAGAGGGGAGAGAGGGGAGGGACACAGGTTGAGGAGAGGAGTTTTGAGGCGCCTCAAAACTTACTCGAGAGAAGGAGCTTCCATCTCGAGGTTGGACTTGACGATGACGTTAGAGGGGAGAGAGGGGAGGGACACAGGTTGAGGAGAGGGAAGTGGGCGGGTGCAGGAGGCGGAACTTAGGGTGCACAGAGAGGAAGGCACTTTAGAGGGGCTTACTTGAGAGGGACTTTAGGGGGGCTTTAGGGTGAAGGGGTGCTGGAAGGGGGCTTACTTGAGGGAGGCTTCCATCTCGAGGTTGGACTTGATGATGACGTTAGAGGGGAGAGAGGGGAGGGACACAGGTTGAGGAGAGGAGTTTTGAGGCGCCTCAAAACTTACTCGAGAGAAGGAGCTTCCATCTCGAGGTTGGACTTGACGATGACGTTAGAGGGGAGAGAGGGGAGGGACACAGGTTGAGGAGAGGGAAGTGGGCGGGTGCAGGAGGCGGAACTTAGGGTGCACAGAGAGGAAGGCACTTTAGAGGGGCTTACTTGAGAGGGACTTTAGGGGGGCTTTAGGGTGAAGGGGTGCTGGAAGGGGGCTTACTTGAGGGAGGCTTCCATCTCGAGGTTGGACTTGATGATGACGTTAGAGGGGAGAGAGGGGAGGGACACAGGTTGAGGAGAGGAGTTTTGAGGCGCCTCAAAACTTACTCGAGAGAAGGAGCTTCCATCTCGAGGTTGGACTTGACGATGACGTTAGAGGGGAGAGAGGGGAGGGACACAGGTTGAGGAGAGGGAAGTGGGCGGGTGCAGGAGGCGGAACTTAGGGTGCACAGAGAGGAAGGCACTTTAGAGGGGCTTACTTGAGAGGGACTTTAGGGGGGCTTTAGGGTGAAGGGGCGCTGGAAGGGGACTTACTTGAGGGAGGCTTCCATCTCGAGGTTGGACTTGATGATGACGTTAGACTCGGCCTGCAATGGTGGTGATGAGAGGGAAGGGACGCATTTGAATGCATGCAATGGACAGCTTTTGGAAATCGTGACGAGTGAGGCGACGCATGCAGTGATGCCATGCCATGCCATGGACGAGAAGAGGATGATGATGTGACGTTAGGCTCAGCCTGCAATGGTGGTGTTGGGAAGGGACGGATGGTGCCAGCTGGCTATGACGTGCAGCTGATGGGCTTCATGTCAAGCAACCAGCAAGGCCCAGTGCTGACGAAGCCCTGTGCTGATGGGGGGGGGATGGGAGAGAGGAGGGATTAGGGGGGAGAGGGCCTTGCAACCAGAGCGCTGACGAAGGCCCTGTGCCGAAACGTGCGTACGCTCAGTAATTGATGGACTATCACGTCCTCTTTCGCCCAATCCCTGCTATTCACTCACACTCTTGGAATTTTCTCTTACGAGCTAAGATCCGTTGGCTGTCGCGGTCGAATCTACCCTTTACTACTGCCAGCCGGCTATGACGTGCAGCTGACGGGCTTCATGTCAAGCAACCAGCATGAGACATACCTCCTGCTTTTGAGGCGCCTCAAAAATAGACTCCTCACGCATAACTTCAGTGAGCGCAGTGTCAGAAGGCGGTTTATTTGCAGGTAGGAAAAACAGTTCAAGCAACCATGTCACATGCTCCAACTTATGTCATCTTGACAGGCATCCTGTCAAGCAATCAGCATCAGGCATACATGCAAATACCCCATCCGTCAGCATACATACCATCCTATCCCACCACACACAGCACTGAGCATACTTGCAATTACACCATCCCACCACATATCGCATTGAGGAATCTGATCACGGCAGTCATGGTGCCAGCCATAATAATGTGCAGCTGAAGGGCTTCCAGCCACCAAAGTCAAGCGTACATGCCCATACACCAGACCGCATCTCACATGCCCATGCCACAACCCATCCATACCGCATCGTACCGCATTGAGGAATCGGATGACGGCCGTGGCGGTGATGGTGCCGGCCACGATGTGCAGCCGAAGGGCCTTCAATTCACCCATACATAGCACAGCATACATACCCAAGTGCCCTGCATGCACCATCAGCCAAGTGCCCTGCATGCACCATCAGCCCATACTTACTGAATTGAGGAATCGGATGACAGCTGTGGCGGTGATGGTGCCAGCCATAATGTGCAGCTGAAGGGCTTCCAGCGAGACCACCTGAGGGGGGAGACGCCTGAAGGTGGCAGGTAGAGGCGGCCAGAGGAGGGAGACTGAGGGGTTCTGTTTGAGGCGCCACACACACATGGTGTGCAGCTGAAGGGCTTCCAACGCCACCACCTGGGGGGGGAGGCGCCTGTGGGTGTGGGGGAGATGTCGACCATGTGAGGGTTGGATCGGGTTTTGTCCCCACCCACAAAGCAATTCCCTACCAATATGTCCATGTTACAAATATCCGTGTTACAGGATGTTCGTAATACAGTGTTACAGGCATCCGTGTTACAGACATCTGTACTACAGGCAAAGCAGCACAGTGAACTCACAGCTCCACAAGACGGGCGGCAGTGACTCACTGTAGCATAAGGCGGGCGGCAGCAACTCACTGTAGCACAAGGCGGGCGGCAACGAGTCCCGGGCTCCGTGCGCCCGCCCACACAAAGTCCCAGTAGCCTTCCAGGAGGGGCGAGCTGAGAACAGGCGAAGGGGGGGGGTGGGGAGGGAGGGAGAGGGCAAGAGAGAAGGAGAGGGGGAGGATTTTGGAGGGGCAAGGGGGATTTTGGAGGGGCAAGGGGGAACAAGAGGGAGAAATTGAAGGAAGAGCAGCAGCAGGGCGTGTGTGGTGGGCTGTAGCATCTGGCAGCAGCAGGGCGTGTGTGGTGGGGCGTGGGCTGTAGCATCTGGCAGCAGCAGAAACGCAACTGGCGGGCGGAGTGGTGGGGTTGAACCTGACTAGCTCCAGCGTCATCACCCTTGCTCCCCCCTAGCTCCAGCGTCATCACCCTTGCTCCCCCCTAGCTCCAGCGTCATCACCCTTGCTCCCCCCTAGCTCCAGCGTCATCACCCTTGCTCCCCCCTAGCTCCAGCGTCATCACCCTTGCTCCCCCTAGCTCCAGCGTCATCACCCTTGCTCCCCCCTAGCTCCAGCGTCATCACCCTTGCTCCCCCCTAGCTCCAGCGTCATCACCCTTGCTCCCCCCTAGCTCCAGCGTCATCACCCTTGCTCCCCCCTAGCTCCAGCGTCATCACCCTTGCTCCCCCCTAGCTCCAGCGTCATCACCCTTGCTCCCCCCTAGCTCCAGCGTCATCACCCTTGCTCCCCCCTAGCTCCAGCGTCATCACCCTTGCTCCCCCCTAGCTCCAGCGTCATCACCCTTGCTCCCCCCTAGCTCCAGCGTCATCACCCTTGCTCCCCCCTAGCTCCAGCGTCATCACCCTTGCTCCCCCCTAGCTCCAGCGTCATCACCCTTGCTCCCCCCTAGCTCCAGCGTCATCACCCTTGCTCCCCCCTAGCTCCAGCGTCATCACCCTTGCTCCCCCCTAGCTCCAGCGTCATCACCCTTGCTCCCCCCTAGCTCCAGCGTCATCACCCTTGCTCCCCCCTAGCTCCAGCGTCATCACCCTTGCTCCCCCCTAGCTCCAGCGTCATCACCCTTGCTCCCCCCTAGCTCCAGCGTCATCACCCTTGCTCCCCCCTAGCTCCAGCGTCATCACCCTTGCTCCCCCCTAGCTCCAGCGTCATCACCCTTGCTCCCCCCTAGCTCCAGCGTCATCACCCTTGCTCCCCCCTAGCTCCAGCGTCATCACCCTTGCTCCCCCCTAGCTCCAGCGTCATCACCCTTGCTCCCCCCTAGCTCCAGCGTCATCACCCTTGCTCCCCCCTAGCTCCAGCGTCATCACCCTTGCTCCCCCCTAGCTCCAGCGTCATCACCCTTGCTCCCCCCTAGCTCCAGCGTCATCACCCTTGCTCCCCCCTAGCTCCAGCGTCATCACCCTTGCTCCCCCCTAGCTCCAGCGTCATCACCCTTGCTCCCCCCTAGCTCCAGCGTCATCACCCTTGCTCCCCCCTAGCTCCAGCGTCATCACCCTTGCTCCCCCCTAGCTCCAGCGTCATCACCCTTGCTCCCCCCTAGCTCCAGCGTCATCACCCTTGCTCCCCCCTAGCTCCAGCGTCATCACCCTTGCTCCCCCCTAGCTCCAGCGTCATCACCCTTGCTCCCCCCTAGCTCCAGCGTCATCACCCTTGCTCCCCCCTAGCTCCAGCGTCATCACCCTTGCTCCCCCCTAGCTCCAGCGTCATCACCCTTGCTCCCCCCTAGCTCCAGCGTCATCACCCTTGCTCCCCCCTAGCTCCAGCGTCATCACCCTTGCTCCCCCCTAGCTCCAGCGTCATCACCCCTTGCTCCAGCGTCATCACCCCCCCCTAGCTCCAGCGTCATCACCCTTGCTCCCCCCTAGCTCCAGCGTCATCACCCTTGCTCCCCCCTAGCTCCAGCGTCATCACCCTTGCTCCCCCCTAGCTCCAGCGTCATCACCCTTGCTCCCCCCTAGCTCCAGCGTCATCACCCTTGCTCCCCCCTAGCTCCAGCGTCATCACCCTTGCTCCCCCCCTAGCTCCAGCGTCATCACCCTTGCTCCCCCTAGCTCCAGCGTCATCACCCTTGCTCCCCCCTAGCTCCAGCGTCATCACCCTTGCTCCCCCCTAGCTCCAGCGTCATCACCCTTGCTCCCCCCTAGCTCCAGCGTCATCACCCTTGCTCCCCCCTAGCTCCAGCGTCATCACCCTTGCTCCCCCCTAGCTCCAGCGTCATCACCCTTGCTCCCCCCTAGCTCCAGCGTCATCACCCTTGCTCCCCCCTAGCTCCAGCGTCATCACCCTTGCTCCCCCCTAGCTCCAGCGTCATCACCCTTGCTCCCCCCTAGCTCCAGCGTCATCACCCTTGCTCCCCCCTAGCTCCAGCGTCATCACCCTTGCTCCCCCTAGCTCCAGCGTCATCACCCTTGCTCCCCCTAGCTCCAGCGTCATCACCCTTGCTCCCCCTAGCTCCAGCGTCATCCCCCTCTGCATTGCCATGTGGTGGTGAGGTGACCCCACTGCTTCTTGTGGTAAACCCACCGACGCTCCTGGTGGGTCTGGTGGTGGGGTTGAGTCCATCCACAGCCACCACCCGCTCCGACACCTGGATTAGCCCTGCAGCGTTGCCCTGTGGTAACCCTACTGCTGCTGTGGTAACCCTATTGACGCACCTGGTGGGCTGAGTGGTGGGGTTGTGACGCTCCAGAGCCACCACCCGATCCGACACCTGGATTCGCCCCGCCGCATAGCATGTGGTGCTTGCTGGCTGTGGTAACCCTACTGCTGGTTACTTAAGGTAGGGGCCACCAACCAACGCGCACCTGGTGGGGCGAGTGGTGGGGTTGAGTCGCTCCAGAGCCACCACTCTCTCCGACACCTGGATTCTCCCCGCCGCGTTGCCCTGCCCTGTGGATAGGGACTCCACGCCGCCCGCGTCTTTAATCTGGGCCGAGAGGGGGAAGAAAGCAATAAGGGGGAGGTGGGGGGGTGTGGGGGTAGAATTAGAGCACGCTTGTACTAGTTCGCGTTGCCCTGCCCCGTTGACAAGGACTCAGCCCAACACAACAGCCCACCCCCCCACCCCCCCCCCCCCACCCTCCCCCCGCCCCCCCCCCTTCCCTTCCCTCACCCCCCTGTCGCTAATCTGTGAGAATGGGGGTCCCAGGGCCTTTATTATATGCGTATAGCGACCGCGATTATACCCAGTGAAGATGCTTAAACGCGTAGAATGTGGGTACTGATATTGCGCGGCAAGGGAGAACGGATTACTACAGCGCCTATAACGGACAAAAAGCGTAAACGCGTACAGCGAGGAGCAGTGCCTCCTTAGCCGCAACTCGCTCCATCTCCTTAGCGAATGACGAAGCGCGCATGTCCCCTCCCACTGCCGCGACCACGACCGCGGCTCGTCTTCTGCTGACTTGGCGCCACGTGGACCGAACTGGACCCATACTATCCAACGGCGCTGTCCGCGTCAGCGGCGCGCCACGCTGATAGAGGCAGGAAGAGGACGACATGCCCCGTGTAGCCACGCTATTGGAAGAGCCAGGGCGGGATTTGCTGCGAGAGGGGCGTGACAGTGCGGCCGGCATTAGCGCGGTGCGAGAAAGCGGCGGCGAAAGCGCGAGAGAAGAGGAAAACGCCATTTTGCTGCGGCAGGGCGCGGGGTGCGGGGGCGGGGGAAACACGGTTTAGGTTGGAATCGAGGGGCCGCGGAAAGAGCGGCGGGAAAGGCGCTGGAACCGTTCTTTTGCTGACGAATGGAGGTACCGAACAAATTCAAGTGGAATTTGGACGGGGACTGTTGCGGGAGGTAGTGGGAGAAAAAACACGCAGACAAAACACACGGGTTCTTGAGGGCTACGCCGCCCGTGGGGCTCGAACCCACGACCACAAGGTTAAGAGCCTTGCGCTCTACCAACTGAGCTAGGGCGGCTGGTACTTCGATAGGATTTAATAAAAACAATATTTAGTAAAATTTGTTTAACGTTCTGTATCGCACTGCAACGCTCTGGGAGTCATGACTCTCGTCGAAATTCCACTCACTTAGTTTCTTTTTGTCATTCGTCATGCCCAGAGGGATCTCCGACCATTCCATTCCCCCCATCGCAACCCAATAGCACAGGCCAGGGACCAGCCAACAACAAGCGGCACTATGTACATATAATAGTCGTTGGTTTCTCTTAGCTCTGTCGCGGCCCGGATTTACGCGCGGCAAGATGCTGGACGACTGGGAGGATGAGCGGGAGAGGGTCGTAGACGGGAACTATGGCGGGAATCCCGCCGGGAGTTACGGCGGGCAGTATGGGTACCGAGGATACGGCGGGGTAGGTCGTGCGACTCGATTGGAAGGCTCTAACTTCGCCCGGTTTACTGATAACCGTGCTAGACTGACAAGTGTGTTAGCTGGTACCCATATTAAGCTGGTATCCGTGCCAAGCTGGTAACCTTCCTCGCTCTTCCGCCTTCCCCGCACCCCTCACCAAGTACCCTCCGGTCTTCACGTTCCAAGTGCCTTTCACCCCTCCCCACCATTCCTCACCATTCCTCACCATTCCTCACCGCGCTTCACCGCTTCTCGTGCCTCACCACCACCCACCACCCCTCTCCCCCCAACTCCCCCCTCCCTCCGCACCCGTCCGGCTCAGGAAGAGGAGCAGGAGCAGCAGAATCCACGTCAGCAGGAGCCACGTCAGCAGCGGTTCGACCCCAACGAGCCGTTATTCAGCGTAGAGGTTCTTAAAGCCCAGGCGGCTCTAGGCCATGGGCGGATCACGTGCGGCGCGGCGGGAAACTCGGTGGTGGCCGTGGGGACGTCTGACGGGTGGCTCGTGCGATACGACTTCCTCAACGATGAGCTGGCAGGTGGGGTGGCTGACGTGGCATTGGCCATCACCATCAACGGCTCGTTTCGCATCCAGATGAAGAGTGGCTTTGTGATGTCCCCACCCTTCCCCACCCCCACCCCCCTTTCCGCCCCCCCTCCCTCCCCCCCTCTCGTGCAGAGATCATCATCCCATCACAACCCACATCCCGCCAGACTCATCCCCATCCCCATTCCCAACCCCATCCGAGAGTTTTTTTAGAATTCTAAAAAAAGTGAGAGATTTTTTAGGGAGTTCTCAAAAATCTCTCACATGGACTTTAACTCCCTCGCTTCGTTATCGGTTCGAGTTTACCAAAACGGTTACACAACTTTTTGGTAAGAGCGCGTTTTTCTAACGCGGATTCACCTACTACAAGGTAGATGAATCGTTTTCTCAATTGTTTTCTCGGCTCAATTTGGGCGAGCCAGCTGGTTGTACAATTGGCAGACCGCACTCACCCTTTGTGGTGCTCTGGATGGATAGTTTCAAGGGTACCCAGCTAGATAAATAGCTGCAGGACCGCTTTATGGGTTAGGACCTGGGGATTTTCGGGGTTGAAGTGTAGAACACGGATCTAGAGGGTAGAAAAGGGGTTTGATAGTCGTTCTTGTAAAACTGAGAGGGCGCTGATGAAGGCTAAGGCCGAAACGCGCGTACGCCTCAGAATTACCAGTGGACTATGTGTCCTCGATTCTTGCCCGTTTTTCCGATTTCTACCCGCCCCTAGAACTCTAGAACTCTAGCACTCTAGAACTCTAGCACTCTAGCACCCTAGTACTATACGCGACATCCGATAGGCCTGCTGCGGTCGAAACTCCTCTTCTATGTGAAACTGTATGTTTGTGCTGTCCCTCCCTCCCCCCCTCCCCTCTCCTACAGAGATCAACCTCGCAGCCTATATCCCCCCAGACACCTCCTCCCCATCCCCCTTCTCCTCCTCCCCGTCCCCCATCAACGGCTCGTACCGCATCCACGTGAAGAACGTCTTTGTGGACCCGGGCGGCCGCCACACGCTGGCTGTTCTCCAGCACACGCCTCTCGGCGCACCCCATGCCCCTCGACCCTCCACTGCTGCTGCTGCTGCTGGCGCTACTGGTGCTGCTGCTGCTTGTGGTGGCGGCGGCAGCGGGAATGGGAGTGGGATGGCGGCGGTGTCAGTGGCGTCAATGTATGCAGGGGGACGTACTGGGACGTGGTGTATGTGCATGGCAGCTGGCAGCGCGCCCGGCACGTGGCGCGCCACCGCATGGCGATTGGTGCTGTGGCGGCCGTGGCATGGCAACCCGCACACATGGCGCATGAAGGTTTGTGTCTCATGGCGCATGAAGGTTTGTGTCTCATGGCGCATGATGGTTTGTGTCTCATGGCGCATGATGGTTTGTGTCTCATGACGCATGATGGTTTGTGTCTCATGACACATGATGGTATGTATGTGGTATGAGTTTTATGCATGGTGCGTGATGGTCTTTTGTGTACCAACCATGGCTATTCACGCACCACCCATGGCTATTCATGCACCACCCATGGCTACTCATGCACCACCCACCCGCCATCTCCATCCACCACCCATTCACCACAGGGAGCACCCGAGAGATCATTCTAGCCACTGAGGGGGGAAGACTCTATGAGGCAGCGTTCGAGGAAGCAGACAAGCGAGACCGCCCGTTGAAGCTGCTGTTTGAGCTGCCTGACACCGAAAAGAGCCCCTTCCGTGGTATCCAGGTCAGACCTCCTCCAGATCAGACCTCCTCCAGGTCCGACCTCCTTCCCACTCTCTTTCCACCCCCCTTTTCTTTTCTTCTCCCCCGGCCACCCCCCTTTCGACCCCCCCCCCTTCGAAGAGGACATCCTGCCTGCCTAGCTCTTCTGGATGGATTCCTCCGGTCCCCTCGTCTCGCCCCTTCCCGCCCTCTCCCTCTTTGAACCCCCCTAGCCTCTCCTCCCTGCATCACTCCATGTAACCACAGATGGAGGTGCTGGGCTTGCATGGGGGAGGCTCGTCAGGGGGAGGCTTATCTGGTGGAGGAGGAGCAGCAGGGGTGGGCACACCTGGGGGAGGCTCAACTGGGCCGGGCTCATCTCAGCGTTTCTTCGTGATGGCAGCCACTGCCACACGCCTCCTTGCCTTTGTCGGGTCAACTTCTCTTGAGGTGAGTGGGTCAGTCAGCAGGACGGTAGGTTGGCGGAGTCACGGGTCACTTTCTTCGTCCTCACTAACCTTGAGGGACGTCGACTTGCCTCACGCGTCTCTTTGCCTTTGTCAGGTCGACGCCGCTCTAGGTTAGTGAGGCTGTAGGAGGGTCGTTTGTCAGGTCGCTTTCCTCTCATCCATTTCTGTCTCTGTGCTTAATTTCCCCTTTTGGTTTAATTTCTGTGTTTACTTTCCCCCTTTGGTTTAATTTCTGTGTTTACTTTCCCCTTTTGGTTTAATTTCTATGTTTACTTTCCCCCTTTGGTTTAATTTCTGTGTTTACTTTCCCCCTTTGGTTTAATTTGTGTGTCTACTTTCCTCCTTTGGTCCGTCTGTCCTTTCCTATTCGTCCAATCTTATTCTTGAGGCGTCCACAGGAGGCTTCTTTCTATTCTTCCGATTGTCCTCCCTTCGCTTGCTTGCTTGCTCCACTCGATTCCCCTCTCGCCCCACACCCTGCAGGCTACCTTTGCGCCCTTTGCTTCTTGCGTGATACACTTGATGCCTCTCTCTCTGCATTCATTCACCCTCTCTCTCTCGCCCCACACCCTGCAGGCTACCTTTGCGCCCTTTGCTTCTCAGCTTCCCAAGTTCATCGAGCTTCCAGCATCCTCCCCACTCATAGCAAGGTACAGAAGGGTTACTTGGGGAAAGCACGGCTTATGCCAAGGAAAGTAAGGCAAGTGTTCTTCTACTACTAGGTACTCTCCTGCTCGTCTGCTCCCCTCTCGTCTCGCCATCACGGCACCTTGACCTGCAGTTGGCTCTGCACTGCTAACCGCCCCTCTCCCTCTGCCCTCCCTCCCCCCTCCCACTGCCCTCCTCTGCCCTCCCTCCCCCCTCGCACTGCCCTCCTCTGCCCTCCCTTTCCCCTCCCTCTCACCTCCCTCTCACCTCCCTTTCCTCTCCCTCTCCCCTCCCTTTCATCTACCTCTCCCCTCCTTCTCCCCTCCTTCTCACCTCCTTCTCACCTCCCACTCCCCTCCCTCTCACTCACCTCCCTCTCCCCTCTCCCTCACCTCCCCTTACCACTCTACAGCTCACTGCATTTCTTCGGCCGCAAGCAGCGCTACGCAGAGAGGTTCGCGTGGATGGCAGGGCCTGGTGTTCTCTACGGCCACCTCAACCTCAACGCCGCCGCCTCCAGGTGAAACCTTCCCCGGGTATTACCGTCCCCAGGTGAGACCTGCTCCAGGTGACACCTTTTGATAGGAATCTGAGATGTGTTAGAACCCATGGGTGGCAGGCCCTGGCGTATCGTTTCGGCCACCTCAACCTCAACGCTGCCCCCACCAGGTGAGACCTTCCCCAGTTGAGACCTCCTCCAGATTCGTTAGGCGCAAAGGTGACCTCCCTCCCCCGGGTGAGACTTCCCGGTTCGTGCACCTGGCTGAACCTGGGCTTTGGCGCCTGGTTCTTCTCAAGCAAAAACCCTGACCTTTCCTTTCCTCTGATCCTAGTTTTCTCCCTCCTTGATTTCCGTGCCCGTCTCTCCCTCCCTTCGATGATGCCCTAATTGCCTTTCAGTGACCCTGGCTTTCCCCGTCTCCTCCTCTCTCCCCCCCTCCAGTCTCCCCTCGGGCTCCTCATCTGAGCCCCCCGTCCAGCGCAAGTCCCTGCTGCCCTACGCCAAGCTGCTCCCTCCCGGCCCCGTCAGTAGGAGCGATGACGCTGATGATGGCGATGCTGCTGCCGATGCTGCTGCGCCTGTGCATCCCATTGCTATGGCAGTCTCGGAGTTCCACTTCCTGCT